TTTTACCCCCCAAATGGCCTAGCCAGTTGTTTCAGCTCTGTTGTTGTTGTTGGTATGTGCCGTAGAGTTGGATCCGACTCGTAGTGACCCTGTACAGGGTTTCCAAGGCTGTAAATCTTTACAGGAGCAGAAAGCCTCTTCTTTCTCCCGCGGAAGAGCTGGTAGTTTTGAACTGCTGACCTTGTGGTTTGCAGCCCGATTCATAACCACTATGCTGCCAGAGCTCCTTTGTTTCAGCTCTGTGGATCACTAATTCAGCTTCCACTCATGGATTTGGAATGCCATCCTAGTTATTTGGCATTTGTATGTGAGTTAGTGGTTGACCCATATATTTGTTTGTTTTTTATTTGAGTTTGTATTTGGGAATATTTCTATGTTTTATCCTGTCCAGTAATTCACTTTAATATCTTGTTCAGTTAATCTTTGTCTTTCTCTAAGATTTTCCTGACAATTCTCATGTAGTCCTGCTCCCTACCCCCCCACCCCTGGAACTTAGAGTAACCAATCTAGTTTTCTCCTAATTACCAAAAAATCCTATTGGGTTTTTATTGGGATCACATTAAAGTCATTGATTGATTTAAGGAAAATTACTATCTTCCCATTTATTTAGGTAGTTAAGTCACTTCGAATAATTTTAAGGTTAAAAAAATTTGATTTGCATGTTATATGTATTCAATTTATTCCTTCCATTTGATGTCATTTGCTATTGTTACTATAAATGGAATCATTCCATTAATTTCAAATTGGTTATAGTTCACACATGTGGTGGTGGTGGCTGTGTGCTGTGGAGTCGGTTCTGACTCATAGCGACCCTGTACAGGGTTTCCGAGGCTGTAAATCTTTACGGGAGCAGACCACCTCATCTTTCTCCTGCAGAACAGCTGGTAGTTTTGAACTGCTGACCTTAAGGTTTGCAGCCTGATTCGTAACCACTCAGAGTTCATAGGAAAGTTAATACTTTTATATTAATTTGAAATGAATATAGTTAATTTTTAATCATTTCTGTATTTTCTAGCTACAACTTTAGATGAACTTATTAGTTGATGATATCTTTTAGAAATGAATTAGTCAGGCTAAGCCTCTTTCTTAATCAGTGGCTTTGCAATGCTTAATAGACCCCACAGTTAGCTTTGGGAGAAAAGAAACTAAGTATAGAAGGTGCTTATGTGAAATGTCCAACGAAGGAAGGATAAAAATAGAATGTGGACTCAATTTATTGATAGCGCAATTATAAAAAGAATCTTTTGCAGTTGATGTGCGAAAGTACAATGTTGGGGTTGTTCTAACTTTGGGATGAGGTATAAAAGTTTTTTTAAAAAAGATTTCTTCCCTAATCTATTTTAAAAGCAGTTTACAGCATTTTGTTGTAAGCCATTTATAGGACATGTACTGAAACTTTTAAATAGTAAACATACCGCACTCTCACTGGAGAAACAATATCACTGAAGTTTTGTAAAGATTGGGCATTTTAAGAGAGATGATAGTTGAAACAGAGACAGCAACCTTGCCCCAGCATGTGAGGCTACAATACCATGAACATGGTCCTGAATTGCTACTGTACTCTTGGTGGCTTTGAAACCCTGGTCTTTCAAGTATTAATAGACAAGACCTGTAGCAATGTCTGAGGGGTAGAGGATGGTTACAAAACCCCAGCACATGAAGCCAAGCATGAAAAGGAATCAAGGGCAAACCAAGCATTCACTCTTCAGAGTGCTGGTGATAAAGCCAAAGATCTGCTACTTGAATCACAAATTTAATTAATGGGATAATGGACGGTGGAGAGAGGAGAAAGGAAATGAACTTGTCAGACTGCAGCCAAATGCTGTGATGAGGCAGCAGATTTGCATGTTGCTGCCAAACACTTCTGCTAAAGCTAAGAATGTAAGTTGTATGAGTACAGTCCCGGAGCCTGATTTGTAAACTCCAATGTGACTCATTTACTGCCCGCCCCCAAAGGAAGACCAACACTCTGGCGCTCAAAAGAAAGGTGGTGGGACTAAGCTTGTGTTCAGGTGTGTTGATGATGGGAACAGTCCAGAGAGGGAGGCTGCATGTATGGGTATGGACATTTAACTCCATGACTCAGGGTTCCATGGGCCCCAGATCCCACAGATCATTCTAGTGTAGTCACGACTAGGACCATCAGATAGATGGCGGCTTTTTGGTTCCTATGAGTCGGAACTGACTCCACGGTACTTAACAAAAAGAATGACATATTAAGGAGCTCTGGTGGCGTAGTGATTACGAATCGGGCTGCCAACTGCAAGGTCAGCAGTTTGAAACTACCAGCTGTTCCGCGGGAGAACGGTGAGGTTTTCTGCTCCCGTAAAGATTTACAGCCTCGGGAACCCTGTACAGTGTCGCTTTGAGTTGGAACCGACTCCACGGCACACAGCCACCACCACCACTCTTTTCTTAAAGTCCTGGTGTGGCGCTGTGGGCTAATGTGTCAGACTGCAAAGTCATTTGAACTTCAAGGTCTGTGGTTCAAGCTCACCAGGTGCTCCTTGGTAAACCTATACATGGTTGCTATGGGTCAAAATCGACTCAACAGGACTTAACAACAAGAACTCTTTTCTTACAGAGAAAAAGAGCTGAATTAGAGTTAAAAACTTTGCTACACTAAAGTGCCTCCCTCATTGGTGTGTCCCCAAGGAGTTGAATTTATAGGGAGACTTCACAGTTCTGTTTGTATGTTGGGAGGGAGAGAACTCTGCATCACTACAAGTAACCAGACAGAAGTTGGGAGCCATTTGTCAAATGTGTTGCAGAAAGTCTCAAGCACCAAAATTGTGTCTGAACTTTCCAACTCTTTAGAAGCTGGGATACAAAACCTGTTAATCTGACCAGAGAGCTGATGTCCTATATTTAGTTTCTACTGGTTTGTGTGTGTGTGTGTTTTAAGTATCATTAATGTATATAGTTTATAACAGTTTTTCAGTCTCAGAACATTGTCCATTGTCTACCTAAATTTAAAAAAATTTCCCCTCATTTTAATTTATATTTGGTTGTTTGCTCTACAAAGTATTGAATCAGACTCAGAGACAAAGCGAGTAATCACAAACTTGAAGGCTTAAAATAGTGAACTGGAATACGGTAAGACCCTAAACCATAATGAAATTGCAGAGGACATATAGGAGGAGGCTTCAAAAAGTTCCATTATCTTTTAATTCCATTTTTTCTAGGAACTTTTTGAAATCCTTTTGTGTATAGCACAGCCACCAGCCCCTTCACATTTGAACTATTAATTGCAGCTCTCAGAGAAAGCACAGACCTCATGGCCTGCCTTTCTTTTTGTCAACTCAGCAAATATTTATGAACTTCAAAATCATGTTAGTGTGTACACTGAATACATTTCAAGTAAAACATAATCGTTCATCAGATAAACTGGTGTAGCCTGCTGTTTCCTTATAAAGCTAAATTCACATTTAGGATTTTCAAAGAGTAACATCTTTTTTTCTAAAACTTTATCTCATCTAGTCTTCATAAAGTCAAAATGCTGATTACAATCTTAATCTTTCAAATTAAGTACAAGGTCTTCCTTTTTTGGTACCAATTGTGCTTTTACACAAACTTGTCTTTTCGCCATTGAAATGAATTTCTGGAATATGGTATGGGGAAAGAGCCCTTGTAGCATAGTGGGTTACGCATCGGGCTACTACTAACCACAAGGTCAGCAGTTCGAATCCATCAGCTGCTCTGCAGGAGAAAAATGAAACTTTCTGCTCCTGTAAAGATTTATAGTCTCAGAAACCCTATACAGGGTCACTGTGAGTAGGAACTAACTCAATGGGACATGACACCAGCAGCAGCAGAGGTATGGGGATGTTTGGGGAGGAAGGACAAAGGCGAGAAGATGGAATTGCTAAAGGAAGGGATAAGGGGATGGGAGAGGAAGCGAGGGAGCAGTAAACCTAAATTAAATGAGGGGCCAGATTGAGGAGAAGCGGATAAAGTAGTAAGATCTGGGAGACAAGGAAGGAGCATCACTCAATGACGTCCACAGCTATGACTCAGAAGCTCTGACTAGGGCTTGGGGCTACAGGTAGAATTGCAGTTCCGCACTTTGGAAACCAAGCGCTAGGACCTTCTCTCCAATGTCTGGGACTGGAGACAACTCGTTCTAGATGGTGACCATATCAGATAAGTTTACTTGAAACTGCATCTTACATAGACTCCTTGGGATGTCATTAAAGATAGAAATCACAAAATAAAATTGTAGTGATGCTTAAGAAAGAAGAGTAAGGTGAGGCACTCTGGGGACCTGAACACAAAACCCAAGGTGGCTGTACAACCATCCTCCCGAGGGTGGGACTATGTGTGAGTCTAGCGGTGCAGGATAAATGCTGGGAGTCAGCCTGACTCATAGTGTGACCTGTATAGAGTTTCCGAGGAGCGGCTGGTGAGTTTGAGCAGCTGACCTTGGGGTCAGTACTTATCCTGCAACACCACACCGGGATTCCTAAGCACTTGTTGTTGTTGTTAAGTGCCATCGAGTCGGTTCCGACCCATAGCGACCCTGTATAGGGTTCCCGAGGTTGTAAATCCTAAGCACTAATGCTTTCTAAATTTCTCTAGTTTATAAGAAACCCTCTCTGATTGTTCCTACTTGCTCTACCGTCTACCTAGACACTGAATTTCCTACATTCAGCTCATCTAGTCCTCGTACCCTCTTAGAGATCAGGTAGAATGGTTCATTCTTCTCTATTCAAACTTCTGGACCACTCTCTGCTTCAGCATCTTCTCAACATAATTATGGAAGTGCTTCAAGTTGTTTCTGAATCGTAGTGACCTTGTATAGTGTTCCCAAGGAGCAGCTGGTGGGTTTGAACTGCCTCCCTTCACCACCCCACCCACCCATAGCCCTCAGCCTCTAGCTACCCTCTCAACATATACATGCTCACACAGGCAGATTCAACTCTCTGGCCCCCCAAGAGCACAAGGATGGTGAGAAGCAGAGTTTAAAGTTCGAGAGGATAAAGGAAGGCCCAGGCACTCACCAAGTGCAGGGTGTCTGCTTTCTGTGTCTGCCTCTGTCGGCTCTTCTGGGCAGCAATTCGATTTTTCTCCCTTCTCTGAACTTTTCTCACATCATCTGATAAGTCCTGGGAAGCAGAGATGAGAATTGGATGAACTTTCTCGTCACTTCTGAGCAGGGTCTCACGGTGTTGGGCATCCATACATCTCTTCACCCACCCAAACACCCACTCATCCATCCATATTTACCAAAAGCCTGCACCCAAATGAGAACCCATCCTCACACCCTGCCATGCTTCATCAAGTCTCTTGAGTGTTTTTTGCCCAAAAGCTACAGGAAGAGGACAAGAGATCTCCAGCTCTTAGGTGATGAAATGTATTTTATGATCTCTCTTCCTTCTCAGAGGAGCTCTGGTAGCGTATGAGTCGGGCTGCCAGCCGCAAGATCAGCAGTTCAAAACTACCAGCAGTTCCGCAGGAGAAAGATGAGGCGTTCTGCTCCCATAAAGATTTACAGCCTTGGAAGCCCTGTGCAGGGTCACTGAGTTGGAACCGACTCCACAGTACTTAACAACAACAACTTCCTTCTCGGGGCTACTCCACCCTTACCCTCTCACTGTTGGGCTCAGAGACTTCTTGATGTGTTTTTTGGAACGTTTGTTGAACATTTACTATGTGCCAGCCTCTGCAATTGAGAGGGGAGGGGTGTCTTAATTAATTCTCCAATTCTGTGAAGTTGGTATTATTCCCATTTTCCATGTGAGGAAACTGAGGCTTAAAGAGCTTTGCCGAAGAACTCATGTTGTTGTATGCTGTCCAGTCAGTTCCACCTCAGAGACCTTGTATAGCGTTTCAGAGGCTGTAAATCTACAAAAGCAGAAAACCTCATCTTTCTCCTGTGCAGCAGGTGGTGGATTGAGCCTCCAACCCTGTGGTTAAGAGCCCAACGCATAACTCACGATACCACCAAGGTTCCTCAAGAACTCATGTTAAATGCCATCAAGTTAGTTCTGACACACAGTGACCCTGTATCCAAGGAGCAGCTGGTGGGTTCGAACTGTTGATCTTGTAGTTAGCAGCCCAGTGCTTATCCTACAGTGCCACACGAGGACTCAGGAACTCATAGTAATCTGGAAATGCTATCTTCTCCCACCCAAGTAGTAACCAGACCCGACCCTGCTTAGCTTCCGAGATCAGATGAGATCAGGCTCGTTCACTGGGAATTACACCTGATGCTAAACCAGACATCCTTCCAAGACAGTCCCTCACCAGCTCCCTCACTGGATGGTACCCATGCAATCTTCTGCTGCATCTCTGGGCTGAGGTCTTCATCCGAGAAATGCCTTTTCTTTTTCTGCATGGCTCCCATTACATCAGTCACCTTAACATTCCCCACACAATGCCAAACACAAACTAGATGCCAGATGCCAAGTGGAAAGACATTATTGTTAAGTGTGTCAAGTTGGTTCTGAATCATAGTGACCTTGTATAGGGTTTGCAAGGAGCAGCTGGTGGGTTTGAACCACTGACTTTGTGGTTATCCTACAGTGCCACACTCAAGAGTGTGACTTTAATAGTGGAGAATTTCTGGCCATGGTAGGTAGTGGATGGGTACTTGGGAGGATGAGGAGGCCTTTGTATGTTCCTCCAAGGACCTTCTAGAGATGGGTATGTCTTCTACTTGGATAAAGAGGTTAGATAGCTTCTGCTTTCCCCCAGCTGCTGCTGAGACGTGCAGGAACCTGAGTGAAACCCTTCTGCAACCCCTACCTCATTTCTTTCTTACCTAGAGGGGTGCAGTTCCCAGGACAAGACCCTGGGCTCACCAACGTGTCCAGCACGCCCAGGCCATGGCAGTAGGCGGGCATGGGTTGGATAGGAAGGAAGCTCTCTTCCTCTAACGGGCATGGGGAGCCTGGTTACATGGAAGCCATGAGTAATTTCCTTCCCAAGAAGAATACAGACTTCCAAGCAGCCGGAGCTACTCTGATACCATCTTGAGCCAATGACTGGGTTGTACGCCCTCTAGAGGTCCTCACTGCTGCTCTTCTGTTAGCGTCTATGACAGTTGTTACATTGTATGTTTATATAACCCTATTTGGGCTGAAGCATTTGAAAGCTCTGCAGTGCTAAAAGAGAATATAAGTTTTAAAGTGGCAAAAAATATCTCAAATTGCTGATGTATTAGATGAAAAAGAGGAAGACTGCCTATAGGGAAAGGTGTCAGAGAGTGTAATCAAGAGAAACTGGGAGGCAGGCAGGGTACCCCATTTTGGGCCAATCTTCCAGATTAATATTTTTGATGTATAAATTACAATCTAGGCTACAAATGCTCCCAGACTCCCAACCCACTCTCTGGTTTCCCAAGAGCGGAGGTGAACTTCGAGAGTGTGTCTCCAGAGCCACCATTTGATGTATTTCCAGAAGCCACAGGGGGAGAAGGGATGGCTCCCGTCCCAGCATCCCTCTTTCCTGGCTGTGCTACAACAGGGCAGCACCCCACAGGTGCTTCTGAGCTAGCCTGGCTTCATAGCTTGACTTTAATTTTTTTTGAAAAACTCCTTCTTGGAGAACTAGTAATCTAGGATTTGGTTACCCCTGCCAGTTTTCCAGCTTAATGTTCCTCTTCCCACTTTGCTTTGGAAAAAGCTGTTCCTTCTTATCTTGGCTTCCTAGAAATATCTATGGGCTGGGAACCACGGTGGGGTGGAGGTGATGGGGCACCAAAGGGGCTTTGGCAAAATGGGTGGAAGGATCTGTCTGTCAATATGCACAGCTTAATTGCAAATACCGTGTCTGAAGTCTAATAGAGAGCTGATGCCACAAGCCACTTCCTCGCTTACTGGGTTCCTGGGTAGGACAAGGAAGCCTTCCCACTTAGTGTCCCCCAGGAGAAACAGACGGTAGGGAAGGAGGTAAGGGGAACTCTACCTGTTTGCCAGGGGGAGGAGAGCGGCTGAAGCTGGAGTCACTGCTGTCCGAGCTGTGAGGCATGGCTGAAATCTTCCAGGCGGGCTCTAGCACACAAGCCCAGGAACCTCTGGGCTCTCTGTCACCAGCTGGCTTTCCTTCCTGACTGCCCCCTGGGCCACCAGCCCACCGGCTCCACAGGTCCCTCCTTGGCCCGCCCTGCAGCCACCTGAGACCCCTGTGTCCTCCTCACTCTGGAGTGCAGAGGCACTGCCCCCCACAGTGACATGTCGATCACTTTAGGGTTTGCTCTCGCTCTCTTGTGGTTTCTGGTAACTCACGCTGGAAGTCACATGGGCGGAAATTTAAACTAGTGAGAACTGAACATGAGGGAAAATACATATCTGGGAGAAGACCTACAGAATTATGTTAGAGAGAGAAAAAAATAAAAAACACAACACAAAACCCCAGCTGCCTTCCGACACTCTGAAAGGCAGAGCATCTCTCTCCCATTGATGAAGAGAAAAGAGAAAAACAGCCCAGGGAGGGAAAAACCCCAGACAGAATTAGTAAGTCAGTGTTCTGTCAACAGGGGCAGAGAGCAGGGGATGAGAGGGAGAGTTTCCATTGTCACACGATTTGGTTTTTATATCAAAATAAAGCAGTGAGTCTGGGATTTCTTTCTGGTTTTCCACTGAAAGTAGCCTGCTTATCCTGCCTTAGGTATGGATTCCCTCACTCTAGCCTTGGAGTGGTTTGGAGTGAAGTGGCCAAGGGCACTGACAACCAATCAGAAGAGGCCTGTGGTGAAGCACAGAGAATGCTCTAGAATTGGTACTCTACAATCTGCTCATCGCTGGGTCTCCTGGCAGCTTGCTCACACTCTCACCCCAGAAAAGATGCCCTGTAGGCTCAGGGGGGAGTCCCTGGGTGGTGCAAACAGTTAGCACACTCAACTACTAACTGACAGGTTTAGAGGTTCAAACCCACCCTGAGGCACCTTAGAAGAAAGATCTGTTTATGTAAGGTTATTGTTTTGAAAACCCTATGGTGACACACATGTCTTGACAGCAACGGCATTTGTATGGTAAAGTTCTTTCAGGAGCTCAAGACTGGTCTTGAATCTTTAAGATCCAAGATTGTCTCCAGGTTTGAGCTCAAAATGGAGAAATAGTAAAAATGAAGGTGGGTACTGAAAAGGCATTACCCCTGGGCATCGAGGACTAGAATTCTGACTGTGACCTTGGACAACTCATTGGTGCTCTATTGTTATTTGGCCTATTTTTCTCATTTGTAAATGGGGATGATAAACTTCCCTGCCTACCTATCTATGCTCGTAGTGATCTTATAAGAGCACCATAGAACTGCCTAATAGGGTATTTGTGGTTTTATAGGTAATCTTTAGAGGGCTGCTATGAGTTGGAATGAACACGCTTAGATGAACAGCAATAAGCTTAGATGATTTGGGGTGCCTAGTGTCAGTGCTGTTGTGAGGTACAGATTTGAGGTACACAGATTAGAATGCCTCCAGCAAACTGTGGAGTCCTGGGGTGGCACTGTGGGCTAAAGTGCTGGACCGCAAGGTCCGTTTGAACCACAAGATCAGCTCCTTGGAAACCCTATACAGGATCACTATGAGTTGGAACCGACTCGATGGAACTTAACAACAGCGAACTGTGTAGGGGGTGTGTGGTTCAGTTGCAGAGGCTTTGCCTTCACGCAGGAGACCTTGGTTTGATTCCCAGCCAATGTGCTTCACGTACAGCCACTACTTGTCTGTCCGTGGAGGCTCGAGAGTTGCTATGGTACTCAGCAGGTTACAACAGGGCTTCCAGACAAAGGTGAACTAAGGTGGACTAAGCCAAAAACCTGGGACTCTACTTCTGAGAGTCAGCCAATCAATCACAAGGGTGCTTTCTATTTTAATCCACCCAGTAACTCTACAGAGTAGGTATTAAGTAGATGCTCCAATTTAAAGGTAAGACAATTAAGGCCCAGAATGCTTGACAATGTGTCCAAAACCATAGAGGTGGCAAGTGGCAGAGCAGGATTTGAATTTGGGTCATCCGATCCTAGAACTGCCAAGCTTCTGCCTAACTCCAGCGGCCATTTGAAGAATGCCAAGAGACTGCCAGGCCTCCTAGATTTTATTAGGTTTGAACTCTTATGATTGCAGTAATACCTGGGTAGAATTCAGATGCAGCTGTTTTACTTGGTGTAGTCTTTATAGAAACCTATGAATCCTGGTGGTGATGCTGTGGGCTATATGTTGGGCTCCTCGTTGTAAGATTGGGAGTTCAAATTCAACTGCTGCTCTGTGAAGAGAACGATGAGGCTGTCTGCTGCCTTAAAGACTTACAGTCCCAGAAACTCTGCAGAACAGTTCTACTCCGTCCTATATATAGGGTTGCGATGAGCCAGCATCTACCTGATGGCAGTGGTTGTGGGCTACAGGGAAGAAAAGAAAACAACGTAAAAGACTCTTCCAATTTGGATTCAGTAAGGGCAGAACAGGATGAGGTAGGGAGGGCTATATGAATTAAAATGCCAGAATTACCACACACACACACACAAAAAAAAAAAATGTAAAGAAATACAGTTGGATCACTTTGTGGTCTAAAATTCCTCAAAATGCAATTCCAGCATAAGATGAGTATTGCAAGCCTCCTGTGTTAGTTACTATGTATTGACGATGCATAACAGGTTACCTCTAAATTTAGCATTTTTAAACAACATTTCTCTCTGGTAGCATAGTGGTTATGAATCGGGCTGTGAACCGCAAGGTCAGCAGTTCGAAACTACCAGCGGTTCCGCGGGAGAAAGATGAGGCGTTCTGCTCCCGTAAAGATTTACAGCCTCGGAAACCCTGTGCAGGGTCGCTATGAGTCAGAACCGACTCCACGGCACACAACAACAACAACAACCAGCAGCATTTACCAGCACACCATGTTTGAAGGAATCCGGGAGTCATTTAGCAGGTTGCTCAGTGTCTCTTATGCGGTTGTAGTGAAGCTATTGCTGAGGTTCCTGGCATCTGAATGGGCTGGAGGACCCACATCCAAATAAATGGCTCCCTCACACGGCAGCTGGCAGGGGGCCTCAGTCTCTTTCCTATTTCCTCTCCACAGGAGGCGTGAGTGCCTTCATAGCATGGGAGTTGGCTTTCCTATACCTTCCACCCCAAGTGAATGGTCCAAAGAAACCTACTCCCCATCCTTTCCACCTTACTCTATTCACTAGAAGAGAGTGCAGTGAATAGAGAAACCTCTTAAATATTAGTGATTTATGGACTTCCTTAAAACTACCAGCACACTTCCTAAACTGATTTCTGAAGGGCCATGACTGAATATAGGCAATCTGATAGGAGATCAACAGGGACTTGAAAACAACATTCTGGTCCTGGCTCTGCCCCCAACAGATAAAGGCGACTACGACTTGGGGCCTGTTTCCCAGCTGTAAACTCGGTAGTAGAGAACGGTAGTGAGGAAGAGTGTTCATCTGCTTTGTGAATCTAAGTTTGGCAAAAGAAAAATCAAAACAAAACCCTGCATTGTTACAGAATGGTTCAATTTTTTTGTGGTTAAAAGCCACGTACTGAGCCACAGTTTGGCCTAGAAGCCCAGCTCTCCACTTGTTAACTGGGGTGACTATGGTCAGTTACTTAACTTCCCAATGCCTCAATTTGCTCATCATAAAATGGGGACTATAGTATTACCTATTTAGGAGGGTTGATGCTTGTAAAATCTCTTCAAACAGTGACTGTAACATGTTCAGTACAATATGAGTTTTTGTTAAATTTAAAAACAAAAATAGAATATTACCAGTCGTCATTGAGTCAATTGTGAGTCCTGGCGACCCTAAGTGTGTCGTAATAGAACCATACTCCAGAGGGTTTTTGTTGGCTGTGATCGTTTGAAGTAGATTTCTAGGGTTTCTGAGATACCGCTGGGTAGATTTGAACCATCAAGCTTATGGTTAGTAGCCAAGCACTGAACCATTGGTGTCTATTTACACAGGACGTCAGCAAATTAATTGTGTTGCTGTAACTAAATGTGACCAAGACCCCCAAGTCCAGCTGTTTTCATGATTATATTGTAATGATTTATAATCACATGTGACATTATTTGACATCTGCATACCATGATCCAGCAGTCAGAATAGACCCTGGTCCCTGCTGTGCCAGGCAGTAAATAGGTTTTCGCTTCTCAGATCGTGAGGAGATGTAAATACTAAAGCAGGAACAGTGGGAAGGGGTGGAGGAAACACCAAGGACTCAGAACAGCAGCTTCTTACCAACCTGTAACTCAGTGTTTGATAGTTGATATCATAACATCATTTCTGAGTGGCGCAATCAGTTAAGCACATGGCTACTAGCTAGAAGTCTGGCAGTCTGAATCAGCCTAGAGGTGCCTTCAGTAAAAGGCTTAGTAATTTACTTCTGAAAGGTCTCTGCCGTTAAAAGCCCTGTGGGACACAGTTCTACTCTGACACACACGAGATCACCATGTATCAGGATTGAGTCCACAACTTCTGTTTGTTGTTGTTAAGTGCCAGTGAGTTGGTTCCGACCCTGTATAGGGTTTCCAAGGAGCGACTGGTAAGCTTGAACCACCGACCTTGCAGTTCAAATCGACTCTGCAGTCCAGAGCATTAACTCATTAAAAAATGTATTTGTTTTTAAATCATAAAACCAGTGTCTATTGGATCAGATTTGCTGTAAATTAGCAGGATGCTTTGTATGTAAATGGTTTTATCCACTACAGTCAAGTCGCTTTGGACTCACAGTGTCCGTACAGGGTCAGAGTTGAACTGCCTCATAGGGTTTCCAAGGCTGTAAATCTTTACAGAAACACACGGCCACATCCTGTTCCCATAGAGTGGCTGGTGGGTTTGAACTGTCAACCTTTTGGTTAGCAGTAGAGCATTTTAATCCTTGTGCCACCAGGTCTTCTAAACGAATTTGTTTTTGTTGTTAAGTACCATGTAGTCGGTTCCGACTCATAGTGACACTACACAGGGTTTCTGAGGCTGTAAATCTTTACAGGAGCAGAAAGCCTCATCTTTCTCCCGGGGAGCAGCTGGTAGTTTCGAACTGCTGACCTTGAGGTTAGCAGCCCGATTAATAACCACTATGCTACCAGAGCTCCTTTAAATGAATTTAAGGTAATGGAACATAAGCAGGGTATTTTTTTAGGGCAACAAACTGGTGTAATCATACCAGTTCAGTTTTCTACTCTTCTGCTTAGTTCATCTGTTCCCAGTGCCAGGACAGAGGCTGCATTCCAATCCCTGCTGAACATCTTCGTTTCCAAGATGTTGAGAT